ATTTTTCCGCTTTAGAAAAATGATCACAAATAATAGCTAAAAACCCCGAAATGTCAATATTTAAGGAGTTATGGCCATTTTAAAGTATGCTATTTTTCCGCTTTAGAAAAATGATCACAAATAATAGCTAAAAACCCCGAAATGTCAATATTTAAGGAGTTATGGCCATTTTAAAGTATGCTATTTTTCCTCTTTAGAAAACTGATCACAAATAATAGCTAAAAACCCCGAAATGTCAATATTTAAGGAGTTATGGCCATTTTAAAGTATGCTATTTTTCCGCTTTAGAAAAATGATCACAAATAATAGCTAAAAACCCCGAAATGTCAATATTTAAGGAGTTATGGCCATTTTAAAGTATGCTATTTTTCCGCTTTAGAAAAATGATCACAAATAATAGCTAAAAACCCCGAAATGTCAATATTTAAGGAGTTATGGCCATTTTAAAGTATGCTATTTTTCCTCTTTAGAAAACTGATCACAAATAATAGCTAAAAACCCCGAAATGTCAATATTTAAGGAGTTATGGCCATTTTAAAGTATGCTATTTTTCCTCTTTAGAAAACTGATCACAAATAATAGCTAAAAACCCCGAAATGTCAATATTTAAGGAGTTATGGCCATTTTAAAGTATGCTATTTTTCCTCTTTAGAAAACTGATCACAAATAATAGCTAAAAACCCCGAAATGTCAATATTTAAGGAGTTATGGCCATTTTAAAGTATGCTATTTTTCCGCTTTAGAAAAATGATCACAAATAATAGCTAAAAACCCCGAAATGTCAATATTTAAGGAGTTATGGCCATTTTAAAGTATGCTATTTTTCCTCTTTAGAAAACTGATCACAAATAATAGCTAAAAACCCCGAAATGTCAATATTTAAGGAGTTATGGCCATTTTAAAGTATGCTATTTTTCCGCTTTAGAAAAATGATCACAAATAATAGCTAAAAACCCCGAAATGTCAATATTTAAGGAGTTATGGCCATTTTAAAGTATGCTATTTTTCCTCTTTAGAAAACTGATCACAAATAATAGCCAAAAACCCCGAAATGTCAATATTTAAGGAGTTATGGCCATTTTAAAGTATGCTATTTTTCCGCTTTAGAAAAATGATCACAAATAATAGCTAAAAACCCCGAAATGTCAATATTTAAGGAGTTATGGCCATTTTAAAGTATGCTATTTTTCCGCTTTAGAAAAATGATCACAAATAATAGCTAAAAACCCCGAAATGTCAATATTTAAGGAGTTATGGCCATTTTAAAGTATGCTATTTTTCCTCTTTAGAAAACTGATCACAAATAATAGCTAAAAACCCCGAAATGTCAATATTTAAGGAGTTATGGCCATTTTAAAGTATGCTATTTTTCCGCTTTAGAAAAATGATCACAAATAATAGCTAAAAACCCCGAAATGTCAATATTTAAGGAGTTATGGCCATTTTAAAGTATGCTATTTTTCCGCTTTAGAAAAATGATCACAAATAATAGCTAAAAACCCCGAAATGTCAATATTTAAGGAGTTATGGCCATTTTAAAGTATGCTATTTTTCCTTTTTAAAAAAGTGATCACAAATAATAGCTAAAAACCCCGAAATGTCAATATTTAAGGAGTTATGGCCATTTTAAAGTATGCTATTTTTCCTTATTAAAAAAGTGATCACAAATAATAGCTAAAAATCCCGAAATGTCAATATTTAAGGAGTTATGGCCATTTTAAAGTATGCTATTTTTCCTCTTTAGAAAACTGATCACAAATAATAGCTAAAAACCCCGAAATGTCAATATTTAAGGAGTTATGGCCATTTTAAAGTATGCTATTTTTCCTTATTAAAAAAGTGATCACAAATAATAGCTAAAAATCCCGAAATGTCAATATTTAAGGAGTTATGGCCATTTTAAAGTATGCTATTTTTCCGCTTTAGAAAAATGATCACAAATAATAGCTAAAAACCCCGAAATGTCAATATTTAAGGAGTTATGGCCATTTTAAAGTATGCTATTTTTCCTCTTTAGAAAACTGATCACAAATAATAGCTAAAAACCCCGAAATGTCAATATTTAAGGAGTTATGGCCATTTTAAAGTATGCTATTTTTCCTCTTTAGAAAACTGATCACAAATAATAGCTAAAAACCCCGAAATGTCAATATTTAAGGAGTTATGGCCATTTTAAAGTATGCTATTTTTCCGCTTTAGAAAAATGATCACAAATAATAGCTAAAAACCCCGAAATGTCAATATTTAAGGAGTTATGGCCATTTTAAAGTATGCTATTTTTCCTCTTTAGAAAACTGATCGCAAATAATAGCTAAAAACCCCGAAATGTCAATATTTAAGGAGTTATGGCCATTTTAAAGTATGCTATTTTTCCGCTTTAGAAAAATGATCACAAATAATAGCTAAAAACCCCGAAATGTCAATATTTAAGGAGTTATGGCCATTTTAAAGTATGCTATTTTTCCTCTTTAGAAAACTGATCACAAATAATAGCTAAAAACCCCGAAATGTCAATATTTAAGGATTTATGGCCATTTTAAAGTATGCTATTTTTCCGCTTTAGAAAAATGATCACAAATAATAGCTAAAAACCCCGAAATGTCAATATTTAAGGAGTTATGGCCATTTTAAAGTATGCTATTTTTCCTCTTTAGAAAACTGATCACAAATAATAGCTAAAAACCCCGAAATGTCAATATTTAAGGAGTTATGGCCATTTTAAAGTATGCTATTTTTCCTCTTTAGAAAACTGATCACAAATAATAGCTAAAAACCCCGAAATGTCAATATTTAAGGAGTTATGGCCATTTTAAAGTATGCTATTTTTCCGCTTTAGAAAAATGATCACAAATAATAGCTAAAAACCCCGAAATGTCAATATTTAAGGAGTTATGGCCATTTTAAAGTATGCTATTTTCCGCTTTAGAAAAATGATCACAAATAATAGCTAAAAACCCCGAAATGTCAATATTTAAGGAGTTATGGCCATTTTAAAGTATGCTATTTTTCCTCTTTAGAAAACTGATCACAAATAATAGCCAAAAACCCCGAAATGTCAATATTTAAGGAGTTATGGCCATTTTAAAGTATGCTATTTTCCGCTTTAGAAAAATGATCACAAATAATAGCTAAAAACCCCGAAATGTCAATATTTAAGGAGTTATGGCCATTTTAAAGTATGCTATTTTTCCGCTTTAGAAAAATGATCACAAATAATAGCTAAAAACCCCGAAATGTCAATATTTAAGGAGTTATGGCCATTTTAAAGTATACTTTATGGCCATTTTAAAGTATGCTATTTTTCCTCTTTAGAAAACTGATCACAAATAATAGCTAAAAACCCCGAAATGTCAATATTTAAGGAGTTATGGCCATTTTAAAGTATGCTATTTTTCCTTATTAAAAAAGTGATCACAAATAATAGCTAAAAACGCCGAAATGTCAATATTTAAGGAGTTATGGCCATTTTAAAGTATGATATTTTTCCTTATTAAAAAAGTGATCACAAATAATAGCTAAAAACCCCGAAATGTCAATATTTAAGGAGTTATGGCCATTTTAAAGTATGCTATTTTTCCTCTTTAAAAAAGTGATCACAAATAATAGCTAAAAACCCCGAAATGTCAATATTTAAGGAGTTATGGCCATTTTAAAGTATGCTATTTTTCCACTCTAAAAAAGTGATCACAAATAATAGCTAAAAACCCCGAAATGTCAATATTTAAGGAGTTATGGCCATTTTAAAGTATGCTATTTTTCCACTTTAAAAAAGTGATCACAAATAATAGCTAAAAACCCCGAAATGTTAATATTTAAGGAGTTATGGCCTTTTTAAAGTATCCTATTTTTCCATTCTAAAAAAGTGATCACAAATAATAGCTAAAAACCCCGAAATGTCAATATTTAAGGAGTTATGGCCATTTTAAAGTATGCTATTTTTCCTCTTTAGAAAACTGATCACAAATAATAGCTAAAAACCCAGAAAAGTCAATATTTAAGGAGTTATGGCCATTTTAAAGTATACTATTTTTCCATTCTAAAAAAGTGATCACAAATAATAGCTAAAAACCCCGAAATGTCAATATTTAAGGAGTTATGGCCATTTTAAAGTATACTATTTTGCCTCTTTAAAAAAGTGATCACAAATAATAGCTAAAAACACCGAAATGTCATTATTTAAGGAGTTATGGCCATTTTAAAGTATACTATTTTGCCTCTTTAAAAAAGTGATCACAAATAATAGCTAAAAACCCCGAAATGTCAATATTTAAGGAGTTATGGCCATTTTAAAGTATGGTATTTTTCCTCTTTAAAAAAGTGATCACAAATAATAGCTAAAAACCCCGAAATGTCAATATTTAAGGAGTTATGGCCATTTTAAAGTACGCTATTTTTCCCTTTTAAAAAAGTGATCACAAATAATAGCTAAAAACCCCGAAATGTCAATATTTAAGGAGTTATGGCCATTTTAAAGTATGCTATTTTTCCTTTCCAAAAAAGTGATCACAAATAATAGCTAAAAACCCCGAAATGTCAATATTTAAGGAGTTATGGCCATTTTAAAGTATGCTATTTTTCCTTTTAAAAAAAGTGATCACAAATAATAGTTAAAACCCCGAAATGTCAATATTTAAGGAGTTATGGCCATTTTAAAGTATGCTATTTTTCCTTTCCAAAAAAGTGATCACAAATAATAGCTAAAAACCCCGAAATGTCAATATTTAAGGAGTTATGGCCATTTTAAAGTATGCTATTTTTCCTTTTTAAAAAAGTGATCACAAATAATGGCTTAAAACCCACCTTAAGGTGAGAATACATAAAACGTTTATTTGATTGGCTTATGTCATTGGCCCAGCTGTATATCCGCTAGCTGCAAAGAAGGGTCCTCTTTTACACAGCGTTGCCTCGTTATTTTTCATGTATCCAGTTGTAAATATGTTAAATATCTACATATGCTTACCTGCTCCCAATCCACCAGCAACGATTAAAAGCAAACCACCTTTTCTTAATGTTAATACCACAAGAGACATTGTTTTGTTTTATTTACGAGGAATCGGGTAGTTGATCACTGCACACATTGTTGGGAGTACAATTTCTCGAAACACATCTATTTCATAAGTACCAATTCACTAAGAAAAAAAAAACAATCTAGCTATAAACATTAACATCTGGACATAACACCGGCCAAACTAGCGTCTCGGCTAGCCCCTCAGTTCGACGATTTTGGTGGTGGTTGGGCAAATTCATTGAATGTGTCTTTAGTTTTCTTTGCCAATTGACCAGCATAGCAAGGAAGCATTTCAATGAAATGGAATGTGTTCTTCACACCCTGATTGTAGTAATGTTTGGCCAGGAAGCGTACCTCCCCGGTCTGTGGCAGTGAGGGAACCTCAAATGGCAATTGTTTTTCCAGACTCTGGACATGAGGACGCAATTGACTTTTAACGCAATTATAGAATTTCTCCGATTCTTCTGGACTGCCCCAAACACCCAATTTCTTGGAATAGTAGACAGCACCGACAACCAAACCGGAGCGTATGAGGAATCTAAGGAGATGTGAGAAAACAAAACAATAACAAATGATTACGTAAAGAAGACAGCAGCAGCATCAGCGCTGGAAACATTATTAAATTTTGATGTCATCTTACCCAATAACCATTTTGATTAGTGTGTGTTACGTTGAGTATTTACAGTAGAATCCTATTTCTGTCTTATCCAGCTATGTCCTCGAACCTCCTCCAGAGTAGAGTTCGGTGTTCGTTTCGCGAGAGAAATCGTGCAGTCGTCCCTTTTGATTGACAAAACAAGCAATTGGGTGTAGCTTAAGTTCAACGTGTGTCGTTTGTCAAAAAACAATTTGTGGGGCGCAATGCCAATAAGAAACAGCAGGTGTGTCTGTTGAATCGATATCTGATAACAGTTGTTAACATATTTTACTGAAAGTTATCGGTTTACTGAGAAGAGCCGTAAGAGAGAGAGAGAGAGTCAAGGGAGAGCTCTGACAGCAGAGTTTCTGCGAGTGGCTGGATTTTATTGGCAGATATTTGTCTAGTAAGAAAAATTAACTTAAATTTTAAAAATGGAATTGAAATATTGGTTTATTTTAAAAGTTTAGAATATTTCTTTGTTTTATATGTTTGTACAGAAGGACAGAAGAAAGTCTTTTTATAGAAGGGTATAATTTCCTATTATAGAACAGCAGTTATTCTAATAAGCGAGAATATTTGTACATTAAGCACCAGGTGGTCTTCTCATTAAAGAAAAGGTAATATTATAGAATGTTCTTTTTCTCAGTTCTTTTTTCACTCGAAGACTAGGCGGTCCACTCAAAGAAAACCGGTCCAAATTCTTACAAAATACTAGATGTTTCTCTCATGGAAGAGCATTTAAAATTTTAGAAAACTAAGTTGGTCTCTTTATATCAGTTGCTCCAGTTATGAAATACCGATTTTAATTCCCACAAAAGGGCATGGTCTTCCAAAAAAGACCAGCAAGCCTTCTTATAAATCAAAATTACACTCGTGTAGATTTCTTCGTATGAAAGGCCACCAAGTCTTCTCCACGACTACCTACTCGTCTTCTCACGGGAAACTTGTTATTTTTACCAAAGAAGGAAGTACCAATGGTTCTTCCTATAGACATATAGATATATAGTAAACCAAGGAATTCCTTTACAGAATTCCTAAAGGTCTCCTCCAGGACTACCCTGTATTGTGGGTTTTTCCATAATCACAAACTCCACATCTTTTACAATTCACATATAAATATTTATTTATTTTTACAATTTCAAAGTTGTTGTTTCTGAAGTGATGCCATTATAAATAAAAGTGTTGTCTACAGGCTTGAATTGACTGGTGATAATCTTAATGGCTTCCTGCGCCGCAATGCCACCTGAATAATAAAAATGTCAATCAACTCAAAAAATATTAAAATTTAATCCTAGAAATAACCTACCCAAAAATGCCGAAATGGTATGGACTTCAGCCCCACCATAGTGACAAATCTCATGAACCATGTCATCGCTTAAGGTCGCCTGTGTCGCTCCCAAATCGGCAAGCATTTTATATGCCACCGTTTTCAGACGTGCCGTATCATTTTCAACATAACAATCACCCGGAATATTTCCACATTCCGTAAGAAAACGTTCATAGGCCCTCAGGGCTACATAATGTTCGGTTAAAGTGCCTTGCAGTTCAATATCTACTTCATTCAAAAAACGATTGTTTCGTTCATATTCATCGGATATTTTCGATCCTCTTATGACGGTCAAGTGGGCTGCTTCTTTACAAAACAACCGTACAGTCTTCTCGTCAATGGTATCTGGGGAGAGGCCTAATTCCTTGAGTATTGTTTGAGTACGACGATAAACACTATCGGCATCTTGCATGGCCTGATGTCGATAGATATTTTGTAGATTTATATACGATTCCGTATCGGCCGTCATATCGGGTAATATACCCGGTAATGGTAACATGCCATTGTTTTCTTGTACAACAAAGTCTTTTAGGGCTTTCGCCATTATCCAAAAGGATTTGCTCTAAATTTTTTTAAAGACATTTTTTAAAATCATTATTAAAATAATAATTATTAAAATTCAAAATTCACCTGTTTATTGAGATTGTTACAGGCATCATCTTCAAATATGGCTTTTAATGAACTAGTTATGTGACCTCCTCCAAATGCAGTATTTACAGCTTTCATGGCTTCCTCAAAATTCTCCTCATCGTTTGTAATGCCTTAAGGGTGAAATGAAAAGATTTGAAGAGATGTTAGTGTTAACATTCAAGGGAGGATGCAACGTTCCTTAATTCGCCAATCAAGTAAGCTCCACCAATGCCTGACCATACCTTTTCTTATCATTTCTTTTAATTGCAATTTCTCCCTGTAGTTGGATGGTATTTTGCCGTTATTTTCCTGGCGCCATTGGTCCAAATATTTGTTAAGTACTAAAAGCCAAGGCACTTTGTTGGTTATCTGGGTGCTCTAAAATTCATATTTTTAAATAAAACGTCCACCTCATTTCCAAGTACGCCACTCACCTCAAAATGCTTCTTAAGACTTGGAAAGGGTTGTTCCAGACGCAAATCAAATTGTGGATTATCGGGGTGAGTTTCAATCACACAATGTTCTTTGATTTGTAAACGTATTGATCCGAAAAATCCCAATGAACGACAATAGAGTAAAGGCACATTTGCCTCCCACAGACAATTGGAAAGACGTAAGAGAGATTCCTCATTTAAGTTGGAAGCTACAACCACATCGAAATCATCAAAAAATGACGGTCGATTTACCAATAAGTAGTCGACACTTTCTTCCACGCAGTCACCATTAACATCGGGATTGAGTTCTTGCAATAACATCATGCAGGCTGCTGCCTTGGATTGGCCCAAACTGCTGGAGTCTAAGAAAAAACTAAAAAAAGCATTAAACAATTCCTATGACTAATGCTTCACACCACAACGACTTACTTGACTCCCAAATCCTCCTCCGTCACCACAGAGCCATCGACAATTGTAAACACACCAATGCCAGGCAAAACCAAGCTCTTCAACGTTTCGCATCCAATACCATTTGCATTGATTAGACAAATTTTGGCGCCCTCCAATACATTTTGGCCATGTTCTCCCCACAGGCTAAATAGAATTAAAACATGAACATCCAGACAATTTCATAATATCTATAGATTTCAAATACCGTATCTGTCGATCATATTTCTTGTTTTTATCGGATTGTTCCGGTGACTTTGGTGCCGGTGATGACATGTTATACCCTAAATGCTATGATCTTTGGAAAAGAAAATGTTTGCAAAAAAATTGAAAAAATGCAAAAAAAAACCCTTTAGGAATAGGTAAGTCCGATTCCGATTAATCGAACAATCGATTGCAAAAAATTCCTCTAAACAGCTGACACTGTATTTAATTGCCCACCATAATAAAAGCGTTCCAATGAAGGTGTGTGGCAATAGACGAATATTGCCATATTTGTGAAAGCCGATTTGGGGGTATATCTTCATATCAACCATGATGTAATATCATGCAAGTCAAATTCATTAATTTTGGGCGAAAAGTTACGGTAGCGCTCACATAGAAACAAGAAGGTAAAGTCATGCAACAGTATCTTTATATATTTTTTTTTAAATTATACATTTGACAATATTTCATTATCAAAAGATATTTTTTTATAAATCAATTGTAAATATACAATTCAGAGATGGGAACTCTTTACATGCAGTGAAATTTGACAAGGTAAATTACTGAAAATGCAGAAATGGGTATGCTTATAAATTCAATATTTTGCGAATGTTTTCGAATGTTGTTTAGATATATCGCAGTTATGCCAATACGTTTAATCATCAAAATGACGAATTTCGGGGGGTACCGTTGTATGGAGGATATATGATATTGTGCACCTATCTATATATTCTCTTCCAGGGGATAAAGTACTCACAAGGAACTCCTTGTGTGGATTTTCCGAATATCGGAAAGAGATCTGTGCAAAATAGTCTTATATTTCTACGCTGATCAAGAATATATATACTTTGTTGGGTCTAAAATCATTATTTCGATGAGTTACAAACGGAATGACGAACTTAATATACCATACATACTATGTATAGTGGAGGGTATAACAAATACAAACATATGGCTACATGAGGTTACATTCTTAACTCTATGGAAAAAGTGATCTAAAAAATTGTATCTTACCTTGTGTGAGTGTGTTTGCCTTATTAAATAAAAAACGTCTTCAAATTTTCTTTCCAAACATTTTTATTTAATATCTCTAATTACATATTCTCATGTCATCTTAAACATAATATCGAATCTTCAGTCTTTTCACAAAATTAAAATATCTCTTCACTACAAATATGAACGAATTTTATTTCTCCTACATTATTTATTGTCTACGAATTTAATTTTGACGATATGGCAACACGGTTATCGTTTGTTTGACAGCAAACATATGTTGGGTGTTGTTGATGGCTGCCCGCTGCTGCTGCTGCTGATAAATTTCACAATATTCTCTCAATATATACAGAAAATTTGTTTGTTTACAAATTAAAACAAAATTATACATTTAATATAAATATAAGAAGTGCACGTGCATTGGATGTGTTGCAAAAAAACAAAATATCTTAATATTTCCCTCAAATACATAGTAAAATAATAACCGAAAGTATGCCAGCCAGAAGAAGTACTGATAGTTCGGCAATGAGGAGCAGTACGAGTCCCAGATCCGATGACAACGATGAGGAATATAAAAAGAAAAGGAAACGAAATAATGATGTTAGTATATATTATTTATTATTATGGTCTTATTCATTATTAATAATAATAATTATGGTATTTTTGTTTTCCTAGGCAGTAAAGAGGACCCGGGAAAAATCTAAACAAAATGCCCAAAAACGCAAAGACAATGTGGAAAAGTTAAAACTGAGCAACACCCAGCTGGAGACAAAAATTGAGGAAATGAAAAAGAATGTGGAGATTTTGAAAGAAATTTTATTACATAAAGTCGAACCGGAAAAGCATGAGCAGGTTATTAAACAGATTTTAGAGGAACCCTCTGATGGCGAAGATGATGATTAGTGTTGAGGTTTTTTTTAGTTCCGTGTTTAGATAGTATGTTTTAAAAATATGTATTTGTATATTATAAGATTTTATTTACAATACTTAATGGCTAAAAATAGGTATAGTGTGTAGAGCGTATATTATGAACATTACCAACCAAGCAAATATGAAATGTATTATTGTAAGTTTTAATAAAAAAAATTATAGAAAATTGAGACTACTTACCGTCATATAAATCAAACTTTTCCGTATGCAGCGAAAACACTTCGTCCATTTTATTAGGTTTTTTGTTTTTATCAAACGGGATGTTGGTAATTTATTTAATAATAAACACTGATGCTTGACTAGCCCGCCGTCCGCCACAATAAATTACAATAACAGCAGCATGCACATAGAGAATGCTAATTGCTTTTAATCATCATTTTGATATTCGACTTAACAGGGTGTGGGGGTGTGTGAAGAATTGAAAACACAGTTCCTTACTAAATTTCTTTCGCTTTTTTTAGTAGATGTTCTTCTTAAGAAGTTAGATTTACGAAAGTCACATGTGTATTGGTTTGGGTTAAACCAACCAAACGTCTGCTGCTGCTGTTGTTGATTATGGACTCTAATAAAATGCTCTTTTTATTTATATATTGCTTTGTCCGCCAATTATCACCCTTCATTGATATCAACAACAACAACAAAGCTACTAAAGTTTTTCTTTATTTAATTTATTTTTTGTATTTAAACACACAAAACATTAACTTCTAGTACATATTTTTTATCGACGGCGACACAATGCACAATAGAACACACGTAATGGTTGAGGGTTGGGTGCTACGAGGAGGGGGTGGTGGTAACACTTGTACTTCTCTATATGTATGTGCTTTTGTTATTAAATTTTTATATATGTATGCTTAATATTTAGTTCCTTTACTAATCCAATCACAAAAAATTACTTCACTCGGCGCCGGCGGCTTCTGTTCTAATTGAATTTATTTATTTAATAAACTTGCTTGAATTTTTGGCCACCACCAAAATATTATATTAATCTGTATGTCACCACACCAACCGTAGTGTGATTTCCTCAATACTACTACTATGTAGAGTTCCTCTGTATTCTGTTTTGGTTTTTTCTTCTTGACGTAACATAATTATTGGCTGACCTCCCTCCCTTTTATAATTTCCTTTTTCCGCTAGTTTTTCATTTGCTCTCTCCTTCTCTTCCCACTTAACATATGTTCTCGATTATGTTCCACAATACAAACTATCACTAAACAGTGTTGATTTGGGGGGTAAATACTTGTCACAAGGCATAACAGCATAGCGTGTTTACACAGGGCAAATTGTGATTAAAAAAATACAACACTGATATTGTAGTAGAGGATTAACATTTGGTCTGTTTTTTCTGTTTGGTAGTTTTTCCAGTGAATTGTGATGAGTATTCACTTCAAGTAATGTGCGTTACATGGTAGAAGAATACTGGTAGACGCGTGGATGCTTAGGAACATTGTAATGTCAAAAATTTATTTATTTTTTTTTTAAAATAAGTAGATTTTTTAAATTTTCTTAGGCTGGAAATACATAAAGAGCTTGAAGTCATGGCTAGGCATATTTTGTGATATTTCATAAAGGGATTACAGAGCCGCACCAAAATCCTGCCGTCGTTTTCCATTATAATTTGACATTAATATGCCTAGCCATGACTTCAAGCTTGTTATGTACTTAGCCCTTTATACTACACTAATCGAAATTATTTTATGATATGTATTTTTCAATAATTTTTACAAATTTGAATAATTTTCATTCAAAATTAGTTTGATATTTCATTGTCCCAGCAGCTGCATCGATGAGTATTCTTCTACCATGGGACTTTATAACAAATATCCTGTTATTTCATAGCATGGTAGAAGAATGCAGGTTGTCGCATCGACACGGCTGCTGGGAAAACAAACTGTCAAAACAAAAAAGGCATAGGCAAACCTGTGGTAAAGCCATTGAATTTCCAAAAAGTCCAAGAAATTATATCGCAACAGAAAGAAAATAGACTCAAAAGAGCTAAAGAGTTGCTTCGCTTGGCCGAAAGTGGTGAATTGCCGAATTTGATTTCCTCCGATGAGAAAACATTTGTTACCAAAGAGTTCAGCTGAAAATGTGCACCTTCGGTTGGCCACCAGAACTCAAGCGCCGGCCATGGTGATGGTGTGGGCCGCCATAACAGCCGATGGTCGCTACCCGCTCATATTAATCGACCGTGCCAACAGAATAAATGCCGAATATTATGGCGAAAATACTCTGGACTTAATTAAGGAATTTTAGGTTAAATTAGTTCCGATAACTTAAGCCAGTCAAAAAAGCGTTTTATGTATTCTGTCCTTTAGCTCAAATTATCAAGAATTTTGAATGTTGTTTTCTTCTCGAATTGACCACATATGAAGGAAGATTTTGAAAATTGATAATTACACATTCTTTTGGCCTCTTGCAAATATATAATGGTATTTACCACATAAACCGCATTTATAAGATTGCAAACAGTATATCAATGTTTTTCGAATTCAATTGTTTACATTTTTTATACATAATTCCCGAGTTCATATTATTATTATAGCATGTCTATATTAAAACCTGTCTGAATTGGCTTATCAAGTATTCTTCAATGTGTGTGAGTTTACTGATATCTACGCAGCTTCCAATACACTTTCATTTGACCCACATTTCTATCGGAATTGCTTTTAGCATTCATGAAGTCAATGAACATTTTTGTATTTTCATTCAACGACTATGGAACTTGACGAAATTTTGGAAACTTCGGTATTTCTAAAATACTGGAATGTTGTACTGACAATTGCACTAATTGGGATTTTAAGTAAATGGCTGTGGAACCGAAAGGGTCATAAACAAATCGAAAGGGAAGATGAAGATAATGAAATTCTTGGTAAGTTCTTTTTTTAAATATTGAATATAATTATTTTATTGTCACCCTATATTTACAGCCGATTCCAGTTCCAAAGCTGAAGAAATAGACTATGCCCCTGCTCTGGAAGAAAAAGAACATATTGCATATAAAGGGGTCGCGGAAACTCTATCTGGTGGTGCTAAACAATTCTATAAAATGATGAATGACAGGCGTAGTGTTCGCTCATACCGCCGTGAGCCAATTCCACCCATCGATGTAATTGAAAATTGTATACGAGCTGCTGGTACCTCACCGAGTGGTGCCCATACAGAACCCTGGACTTTTTGTGTTATTACCGATATGGAAATAAAACAAAGTATTCGAGATATTATCGAATCGGAAGAGGAATTAAATTATGCTCAACGTATGCACAAACAATGGACAACGGATCTGAGACCGTTAAAAACAAATCACGTAAAACCATATCTAACAGATGCTCCCTATTTAATATTGGTATTTAAACAAACGTATGGAGTTACCAAACAAGGCAAACGTAAACAACATTATTACAATGAAATATCCGTATCCATAGCGGTGGGTATTCTACTGTGTGCCTTGCAGGCAGCTGGTTTGAGTTCCTTGGTCACCACACCATTAAATTGTGGCCCAGCTTTACGTGCTTTGCTAAATAGACCGGTTAATGAGAAATTATTGGTTCTCTTGCCAGTCGGTTATCCTGCGGAAAATTGTAAAGTTCCTGATTTGGAACGTAAGCAATTAGATGATATTATTGTCAGATATTAGGAAAATAAATACTTTTTTTTTTAATAATAATTTGTTGCAAAATCTGGATAATAGACTCAACTGCTTTTTGAAATAGATTATATATAAAGGTGAGAGTACATAAAAAAGCTTAAATCATAAAGGAATGCCAGAGCCGCACTCAAATTCTGCCGTCGTATCCCTTTATAATTTGAAATTAATATGCCTAGCCATGATGGCAAGCTGATTATGTGCCCTCTCCTTACGTTTTGAGGTTTTTCATGTGTCCAAGATCGTTTGAATTTATCATTTATAAGAATATTTAAAAAATTGTCGTGACAATATTAATAAAAGTTGCGTATCCTAACATCCGTTTATATAAAATTGGAATCCCTGACAAATTATTACAGTTAGAGTAAAAATACCAACCTATTATTTGTGAGGAAAGCAAACAAATTACTTTGTCATTTGTCAACCATTTTCCTTTAAGACATCAATTGCTCATCATCACATGTCACAACTCAACCTAAACTTATTTATAATATATTATTAAAAATTAATTTAAATTTCATACAATTAATCTTTTAATACCCCTTCTGCTTTTACAATGAGCAAAACATCTGTAACTCTCTTGCATATATGAATCACCCAGTTGTCAGCTGTCAAACCAAACAATTTGGCTGGCAAGTAAGAAGTAGTCTCAAGTTGGCGTTAAAATAACTGCGCACGAATCGCGTTACTCTTTCTGTTATCGCTTTTTCTCCTACAAAAATTGGCAAAAAGTACATGATAAACATACAAACATAGTGTAAGAATACATCATTTAATAGAAGAATATGTTTAAAACATATAAAGTGCAAATCACGCGTGAAGTGTTTCATAAGAATAATTCTATGTGCAGTTAACAACAGCAACAAAAATAGAAGATTGTTCGGAAAATATACACCCTGTAACTTCATTATATTTTGTTTTGAATTACCTTCGCTTGTTTTTGTGGGAAATGTCATTGATTTTAGAGAGTTGCCAATGTGTGTTCATGCGGAGAGTTTTTGGTATTTTGAAGCTATGGTATTTGTTGATACGAGTGTTTAAAGAAAATTAATTATATTACAGAATTAATTCAAAATTCCAGTTGAAACTTTTATTTTGTAATATAAGTAATTTTTTAAGAGAAAAATGTGTGAGAATGAAATGTGAATCGTGGATGCCTTTACAAAAATGATGACCCATCAAAGTAAATTACCATTGGCAACACTGTTTTAATCCAAACGAAATTGTTGCCTAGCGCATTTTTATTCGTGCTTCGTGTTCTTTTATTTTGTTTTGAAACGACACAAGGAGAAAATAATTAAAACTTGTGTCTTTGAAAAAAAGCATTTAAAGACAAGTAACAGTGTTTAAAATAAATAATATAGGTAAAAGAATTGAATTGAGAAAAATTGTGTACTTAAATGTGTAATGAAGTCAAAAGTCGAGGCAAGAAAAAAAGCAATTTCTCTTTGTGCTGCATTTACATTGCATTTGTGTTTGTAGCTGTCATTACGACCAAACGAAGAATAATCGAAGGAACAAACTTTCAAAAATGAAAACGGCGCTAATGTGTGAGTGCGTCTGAACGCACGAGTGTGTGTGGCGGTGTGTGTGCATGTTTTGTGACACGACGTCGAAATATTATTAACCAGCCAGCCAAAACCATACGCGCTAATATTTCAATTTCCCGAGAAAGCATGGGATTTTCTTATTGTTTGTACCAAAATAGTACAAAGTAAAGATCGAGATTTGGGAAAATCAATTGGTAAATAGTTTTTGATGAAAAATTGTGGGAAAAAGATAAATGCTAACACTACTCTCACTTCATTGGCGGCAGCGGCGACGACAGCAGCAGAAGCAGCAGCGGTGGCATACGTTCAGTCGCTTGCTTGTATGATGAGGTTTCACCTTGTAGTTTATCATCATTATCGTACTTGCGGGACGGACAGACGGTATATGTTGAAATTTCCATTGTAAAGTTGTTGTGTGTATTAGTAGTGTCGTTTTTATGTGGTTCAAATTAAAAAAAAAATAAGGCGAATGAAAAAATTAGTAACAAAACGAACCTCGCCCGCCCCCATCATCATTTTTGTAAATGAGTGCCCTCTTGTGAAGTAAGTTGACAAATTATAAACAAAAGTTGTTTTTCATTCACCCATATTTACTGCAACAACAAATGTAACAAATGTGCATACGCGCTGTCAAAAATCCCCAAAGCACATATACCACTGCCGTTTTGCATTGCAATCAACCAAACCAAAGTCACTGGCTTGTCATCATTGACGTTGACGTTGCGTTCGTACGCTCGCTCGCTCGCTCTCTCTGCCAATTGACATTTTCATCAGTTCTGCATTATTATTGTCTTCGCTCTGTGTGCTGTCGTCCGAGAAATGGGGGAAATGTGTGTGCGAGAATCTTCATTTTGTTGTACATCTCAATATGCGTTTATTTTTGGGAATTAGGATACAGAGTTCCAAAACGTTTGAAAAAAATTCGACGACGACGACATATGCATAGTTTGGAGTAAACAACCCGAAACCAAAAACCAATCAACACGAGGCAAGGGATTCCATAACATAATAAGTAAACACTTTACAACAAGGTAGGAGGTGGGTTGGTGGCTGATTGGCTGTCGGTGTGTGGTGGTGTAAAAGCAAACGATCTTGTCCCCATTCGTTTGTGAGAAGAAAGTTTTCACCATGGCCTCATTTTTTGTCTGCCTTATCCGTTATCCAATGAGCATATCTTCTTTGGCGAATGTTATTCAGCTTCGCTCTTTTATTTTTTTTTGCGTTTTTTACTAATTCTTTTTTTTTCTTTTTTTAGAACAAATATGATGACCATAAGTACCAACAACTAAACATTACTTAATGCTTCCTGATCATCTGCCCAAAGGATCAAGCAAGCAGGGTGATCTTTGAGAAGAAATCCGCATTGACGGAAATCTATATATTAAAAAGAATATATAGTGTAAAATTAAATTAAGTCTGTAAGAAAAAACACAGGAGCAAAAGAAAAACTCAACAACTGACCCGACTACTCCACCGCTATCATGAGTCGTTACCAGAATAGTGTTAGCAAAACATCTTCGTCGTATAACAACTATTCCAACAGTACCACAAATTCAAGTAACTATAAAAAAATGTCCAATCGCCGGCAAGTGGATCACGAGAGTGGCTACTATGAGGATATTTCAGAGGACCCCTATGGCTATGGGGGAGGTGGTGGCAATAAGCGCATAAGACAACGTTCAAATGACATGGCCGCCAAGTACAACAAACGTCAGAAAATCAATAATGCTGGCGTGGGCATTAACCTAACCAAAACCGCATCAAGAGATATATCCTCTTCCACAACCTCTAATCGGCATGCCAGTCATTCAAACAACAACAACAATAATGTCTATGAAAATCACACCGATCAACGTAAAGTTTCTTCATATCACTATCAAAACTCCATTATGAATTCCCAGGGCAAAGCCAGGGATTACACCAATAATAATAATGCCCAAAACAACAATAACAACAACATTAACATAAAGAATATACAAAAAAATAAAAATCCAATTTCGAACAGCAAGATCAGCTCAAGTGCCAACTACAATCACAATAACAACATCTACAGCAGCAACAGCTATCATCAAACGAATGCGAAAAATCCAAAATCCTCTGGATCTGATGAAATTGTTGAAGTTCCCGACAGTGATGGTGATGAGCCAAAGTCTAAAGCTGTATCCTCCTCCACCTCCACTTCAAAGACAAATAAAATAAAAAATGGCAGTGTCAACAGTAATAACAGTGGAAAGTTCAAGACGGCTAGTAGTGGCGGTGGTGGTGGCGGCGGCGGTGGTGGTGGCGTTCCTACCTTTATTGTCAATGGCAGCAGCAGTGGCAGTAACAGCAATCACTCCCTTCAGAACTATGAAAAACAACAGGCCTCGGGTTCCAAAGCCACGGCAAATGGCACTAGCGGTGCAGCAGTTGGTGGAGGTAGTTCCAGTAAAACACATGCAGATTCAAATAAAAAGGCTGGCGATACCACCGCAGATAATGGCCAAAATAATTCAAGTTCTGATACGGAACGTTTGCAACGTGAAATTGAGGAAGTTACCCAAGTTCCTACCAATTGTGAGTTCAATTTCCTGATCCTTTAATGAGCTTTTTTTATTGATAATTTTTTTTTTTTGTATATTTTAGATGTTGTTAAACAGGATGAGCAAGTGGACTTGTCGCACTTTAAGCTCATACGAGTACTTGGCACAGGAGGTAATTTAATGGAAATTATCAGCATTATTTGTAATATATCAATTCAAGAGAATTCGAGATAGATTTTGGTGGCCAGGCCTTGGTTTTTGTTGAGAAAGAGTAATGCAAAGTTAATATAATCACCTCGCTTAAAGTGTTAGGTTAGGTTAAAGAACGCTTGAAGTCCTGCTGATCTCCATTCAAGGACCAGATGGTCCATTAGTTTCATTCTAAATTGAAGAGAACATTACAATATTGGTTTGTAAACAAATTGATCCCCTACTGGCCTTTGTCTAACACCGAAGAGAGTTGGTAGAGTAAATGTTCGATCGTTTCTGTTTCCTCCTCATCTTGAGAGAACCTGAGTTATCGTCACTTCACTTAGAAGTAATTTATTTATTTATTTATTTATTTACAAAATATTTTATAAAGTAAATTTACAAAATATTGAAGGGAGGCGCCTGGTAACTAAGACCTTATGCGCTCGATATAGTATAATATGAATTTCTTATTGGGTATATTCTAGCTATATATACAAGTATGGATCTGAATTAGATATCACGAATATTATGAATATTTAGTGCCGAACGGATTCGGGGTAAAAACTGTTTAGTGGAACAATCGAGTATTTTTTCGATGCCTAAATTGATTGCAGAGTATTGACATTCTAATAGAATATGTTCAATTGTAAGAAGCTCGCCACAGAAAGAACACCGAGCTGGCATTGTATTATCAAAATAGTGACGAGTGTTAAATAAGCATTTACCAACCCTGAGTCGGGATAGGAAAATGCAATCGGATCTAGAAAAATCAGGATTGTAGCTAATTCTTGGAATTGTTGGACTAACTCGTCTTAGAAAAGTGGACGAAGATTGCCACATAATCAATTTATTAGCACGTTTTTTTGTTTTATAAAGATGCAGTAAGGTAAAATGAAAGCAGGGGATTTCTGCTATATGAGTCATAACCAGTGCTTCTTTTGCCATCTTATCAGCAAAATCATTTCCCTTAATACCTGAGTGTGATGGTATCCATAAAACAAAAATCTCACAGTGGTTTGGGATCTTCACCATATCAGTGTAAATTCCTCCTTTGTTTTTTTGAAGGGCCTTAGCGACACTCAAATTGTCGATACAAATTAACGTCTTTATGTATTGTTTGGCATGGGCTATGGCGGTTTTTACAGCACTGAGCTCCGCTGTGAATATACCTGTATTGCTAGGCAATCTTGTTTTGCAAATCGTAGAGAAACTGTTCGTGGTCAATTGCTTAATTACTGCGAATGACGTAGAAAACCCATTAAAGGAACCGTCTGTGTAAAGGATAATGTCCGGGCTTAAGGCAGCAATTTTTTCAAGCAAGAGTTGTTTATAGCACTCATCATTGGTGTGTTCTTTTAAGTGTGAAGATAACGTAGTGTCGATCGAGACGAAATTACTGCTGTTTATAAGACTTGGGATAGGTTTGGAAGGCAGAGGTATTTCCAAGGTTGAAAAAATAGTCAAGATTTGGACAATAGAGTTTAAACACGAAGTATTGTTAGCGTTAGCATATCTCCAAAATGTTTTATGGAGCCCATGTGCACGTATAGTAAGGGCTTTGCTGGCCAGGCTAATAGAGAACTGTTCCAAAATATGTTGAAAATCATTGTAATTTCCCTCTATGTAAAGTGCTTCTTGAGGTGTGGAACGAAGAAGCCCAGTGGCAGTTCTAAAACATTTGTTTATGGCAGCATTCAGTTTAGAAATATTTGCTTTGGATGTGAATCCATAAATTGTAATGCAATGGGCAATTACCCCGTACACCAAGGATTTACATATGTTAATTGCCGTGTCAATGTGAGGTCCTTTTGTTTTAGAGCAGATTAACCGAAGTAGGTTGTTAATCTTTCCCAGTTTGGCTTGTAACATTTTTGTATGGTCATTCCACAGTAAATTTCTGCTGAATGACAGTCCCAGAATTCTCATTCGTTGGTGAATATTGATAGTATTTTGATCGAGGCACATTGAATTAAATTGACATTTTCTCCTGCGACAAACGTGAAGAAGCTCTATTTTATTAGAAGGGATCACAGCTCCTACATCCCTAGCCCAACATTGTACTGAACTGTTAAAACTATTTAAATTTACTTCTACAGCTTGTGGAAAGCCTGACAAAATTGCAAATATGTTATCAGCGTATACTCCTACATAATCAATTCCTGATAAGTTTTTAAGAGTTCTGCATAAAGAATTTATGTATATATTGTAAAGAATAACGGAGATAGGCGAACCCTGGGGTACACCGTTATCCAAAGGCAAAGAATTAGAAAAATAGCCATCGACTCTAACTTGCATACGTCGAAATGATAAAAAGGATCGTATTAATGCAATGAATTGACTTTGTACACCCCAACTATGGAGTTCAGTGAGTATACTGGTGTATACAACACGGTCAAATGCCTTTTCTAAATCCGCTGAGATAACCACACTGTGTTTTCTGCGGCTTATGTTATCACGTAATGCACACTCCAGATTGTGACACAGTGTATGTACACCGTGATGTGGAAGGAAGGCATGTTGTATTGTGGAGAAACGATGTTGGCTGTATTGTAGTAAACGTCTTGCCAAAAGTTTTTCAAGAATCTTTGAAAGTACTGGAAGTAAAGAGATGGGTCTATGGCCCTGCAAAGAGTTTGGATTTTTTCCTTGTTTAGGGATAGGGCAGAGAATTGCGATCTTCCAGTCATGTGGGAAGACGCCATCGTGTATTATCCTATAATATAACTTACATATCCGTTTCTTTATTATGTTTGGAGCATTCCGTATCATTGAATATGTTAGTTTATCCAAAGAAGGAGTTGAACCCTTCAGACTTTGGAGAACATCATTGAGTTCATGAAGCTCGACTTTTTCTGTAAGAATCATGTTGTTTGTGTTTAGAACATTGGGATTACTAATAGAAAAAGAATGCTTTGACATGTAAATGGAAGGGTCAAAGGCTTCATCAGAGCTTATGGAGCTCCAAAAAGATGCGAACGCATTGGCAATATCTTTTGGGTTTGTGAGATTTTCATTATTAAAGTGAATGTTAGAAAATCTATCAAATTTTGGATTTCTTATGGTTTTTACTTTATTCCATAAACAACGAACATCCATATTTGGGTCAAGAGAGTTAAGAAATCTGTTCCATGTCAATCTTTTGGCTTTCTTACATTCGCGTTTAATTAACGCACACATTCTTCTGTAATATAGACTATTTTCGGTATTCCTAACTCTTCTAAATATTCTCCATGCTCTTTGTCTAATGCGGATTAACCTTGACAATTCTTTATTGAACCATATAGGCCTTATATTATTTTTTGGTTGATGAGTAATTGGAATCGATTCGTTGGCTGATTTTCTGAAAAGCCGTTTTATTTGTGATGCCTCTCTATTTATATTATCAGACTCGGTGAAAACAGAATTAAAATGTAATAATTTAGTTTGGAATAGCGGCCAGTTTGCCTTTTTATCCTTAAAACGGGGAATAAACTTCTTTGTAGGTATGGGAATGTTGTTGGTTATGAGGATGGGAAAATGATCTCCAACTTCCGGTAGGGCTAGTGTGTTCCAGGACAGTGTAGGGGCCAAGTCAGGGGTACACATTGTTACATCTATAGCTGTGAGGGTATTGCGAGTGCTTAAAAGAGTAGGAGAACCGTCGTTGAGGATGGCAAAACCATGAGTATCAGCAAACTCTTCCCATATGAGGCCTCCATTAGAGGATTCAGATGAGCCCCATAGGGTGTTCTGGGCATTCAAATCTCCCAGAAATAGGGTTTGACACATAGGTGGTATGTTAATAGAATTAACTATATCTGGCGTTATAGCTATGTCATATTCTTTATAGACATTTATTATGTGAAGAGGAGAACCATAGTCCAATGTTAGTGACTGAAATAATAGATTTCCAGAGGAAATGCTGTCGTGCGTAACATTAATATTATTTTTAACAAAAATACATATTCCAGACTTGGAATAGTTATAGTTTTTGTTGTGATGATAAACTTTGTAACTTGGAAGAAATAATAAATGCATATTTTGTTCCGTGATGTGGGTCTCTTGTAAAACTATAATACTTGGTTTGTGCAATGCAATAATTATTTCTAAAGCAAATTTATGGCAAATAAAACCTTGAATGTTCCATTGGAGAATTGTAATGTTCGAATTCAGATCCATAGAAAAATATAAAAAAGAAGAGAAAAAAAGTAATAGTAATTAGATATGATAATAATAAGGTTTTGATAGAATTATAGTATTTCAGGAAACATTGAAACGTCGTCCATATCTACAATTTCAGGTCTCCTAGACGTAATCTTGGCTGGGTTACTTGATAAAGTTGCATTTGTTGAGATCTTTTCCGAATTTGATGAATTTTGATGATCGTTGTCTTTGATAGAGTTTAATTGTGTGTAAAGTTTGTTTAATAATGGTTCTTTTTCTGCATTTTCGTTTGTTGGTTTTTTATTTTCTTGGCTTGTGTTGTAAGAGTACAAAGAATTTGCGTTTGATGATTTAGTTTGTGTAGTTGGGGAAGATGTAATTGATTTGTTTGTTGAGTTAGGCGGTAACGACTTTTGGTTGGAAATTGTTTTTGAAGATGGTGGAACATTCGTATTATGATGAGTGTTATTTTCGGTATTTTTGTCGCCGCGTGTTACTTGAGAATAGAGCTGCTTTTGAACTGGGGGTTTAATTAGATAGTTGTCCGGATCGCTTTTAAATATTTTCCACGCATCACGGTTCGTGCATCTTTGTTTAATTTTTATTTTGTTTACTGATTTGTGTGTCAGGAAGGAAGCACAATTTTTGTCGTTTGAAGAGTGTGTGTCAACATTGCAGTTTACACAGAATTTTCGGTTGCACGTGTTGTGTGGTGGTGGTAAAGCACATTCTTTGCACAATTCAACAGATCTGCAGTGGTTCTTTGTGTGACCTAGTTTCTGGCAGTTTTTACATTTCAGTGGGTTTGGTATGTAATCCCGGACAGGAACAGTGATCCAACCAATGTCAATGCGACTCGGAGGGTGTATAAGATCAAAAGTGATCACAGCTCCTCCTGTTGCTACTAATTGGTTTCCATCCATTTTCATAAATTTTCTTACACCAATTACTTGGTATTCTGCCAAGTCTTTGAGTATCTCCTCTTCGGGTAAATGTTTGATTTTGTCGGAGAATATTATTCCTTGCGAGGAATTTAGTGAAGGATGTGGCACTATTTTGACTGGCACTATATCTATGTATTTGGCAGACAAAAATTTTCTGAATGCTTTGATATTATTCGCCTTTATCAGTAAGTCACCACTACGGAGTTCTGATATTTCTGAGTACTCACGACAGATGTTTTTAATACCTCGTCCGATTTGGAAAACATTGTAAGAGGCCAATGGTTTAGTTTCACTTGAGGAGTCTTTAGATGTAGCGGAGGCGATTAAAAATCTGGGGACTTCGTCATAATTAGGGGTTCGTGTTGGTAGAGGAAGAAAATCAGCAGCATCTAGCCGTGTTCTTTTGTGAGAGCGAGGAGACTTTTGTTTATCCCGGGTTGGGTCCAGTACAGCGTACCTGTTATAATTCGGGGGGTACACCCCATTCATTTTTCCTTGTTTTTAATCCGATCAATTAAATCAAACTTAAAAAGGAAGGAACAAATATATTTGCAAAAAATGCCAACAAATTAAAGGAAAATGAAAAAACGTGCTTTCTAATTAAATCAGCTGATTCAGAACAACGATGTTTGCTCATCGACTGTCAGATGAGAACGAGAAGTAATTTATTTTACAGCGACTTGTGATGATTCCAACCAAAAATAATAGGTCTGATTTCGCAATGGAGATGAGCGGCCTTATTATACCCTCAGCCATATGCCTAGAGAGGTTATATATCATTTGATACGGCCAAAACGTGCCTCATCGAAATAACGGTTTTAGACCCTAGGTCGTCTCTTTGGACCAAATCCGTTTCAGGACATTTAGAGTCGATCTACCCATGTCCGTCCGTCTTTGGCTGACTGATGCGCACGATAACTCTCGAAGGGAGTATCCGATTTGATCCAAACTTGGTACATCGTAATATTTTTGTCAAACTTAGATCGAGTTCGGAGATGGGCAATATCGGTTCACTCCTTACGATACCTCCCATACAAAATGTCAACATTTTTAAAGAAAATTATTTACTGCACAGAAAGAGAAAGGATAACCCAATTTTGCTTTAATTTTGAAAATCCAAATATTTGCATCAGTGCTATTTCACGTGCGAAAATGGACAATATCGGTCCACCCCATCAAGTACCTTCCCCACAAAGGATCAAAATTTTGAATAAAATGTGATGAAAGTACCTGATTCTCTTCAAATTACACACATCACAATATTTTTATTAACCCAAGTTCTGGTGTGAAGTTAGAATATATCGATCCACTCCTTCTGGTGCCTCCCCCACAACGGGTCAAAATTTTGAATATTCATGAAGCTTATAAAACACGAAATTAACTTAAGATTCCATTCAGGCTTGGCACAGCTCAATATTTCTATCAACTAAAGATCTGTTATAATGATGGTAGACGTCGGACCATTCCTTCTGGTATCTCCCCCACAAGGGGTAAAAGTTTTGAATAACCAATACGATCTTAAAATCCGAAACAAGCATCCCGTTCTCTTCAAATTACAAATTACATACATCACAATATTTTTATTAACCCAAGTTCTGGTGTGAAGTTAGAATATATCGATCCACTCCTTCTGGTGCCTCTCCCACAAAGGGTCGACATTTTAAATATTCATGAAGCTCATAAAACATGAAATTAACATCCGATTCCATTCAGACTGGGCACAGCTCAATATTTCTATCAATACATGATCTTTTATAAAGACGGTAGAGGTTGGACCATTCCTTCTGGTACCTCCCCCACAAAGGGTAAAAGTTTTGAATAGCCAATACGATCATAAAATCCGAAATAAGCATCTAATTCTCTTCAAATTACACATGTCACAATATTTTTTTTAACCCAAGGTTTGGTGTGAAGATGGAATATATCGGTTTACTCCTTCTGGTACCTCCTCCACAAAGGATCAATATTTTGAATATTTTTGAATACTTGGGTCCGCTATATTGGGTCTGTATAGGAAGTAGTGGATATAGTCCAAATCGGGCACATTGTAATATTTATATCAGTCTTTTGTCAGATACGAAATGGTCAATATTGGCCAATTACTTAGGAACCTCCCCCATAAAGTGTCCACAGTTTGAATAATCATAACTCAAGGCTGGGGACATACATCTGTCGGCAAAAACAACTGATTCATCTGCCGTTTCATTACCAAAAAAAAAAAAATTTGCACTAGCCCTCGAACTTAACAGAGCTGATTGGTGACCTTAATGTTAATGATTATATTACAATGGTATACCAGAGTCAATCTTGACCCCGGGGTCATGGTTGTGAGCCTTAGAGATTAAATCAAGCCATAGGCAACAAAAAATGTATAGACGAAGAATTTCGTTTACTCAGTATTTTCGAATTGAGTTGCCAGACCGCACTGCTCATTTGAGTCACCCGATCGCGGTTATGTTTGTATTTGTATAAAACACTATTTTTCTCTATGATTAAACCTATCATATCCTCTTATCCACATTTATCCTCTTATGTTAGTTACTCTCTTCTAACCATTTCAAGCTCGTTTGTTTTCAATATTACAAAGCGTAAGATTTTAAGATTTCAATTTGTGGATATTAATTCTATTTCCTTCTTCGTAAATAGCTTATGGTAAAGTTTTCCTGGTCCGCAAGCTCAAGGGCAAAGATAAGGATCAATTGTATGCCATGAAAGTGCTCAAGAAGGATACCGTTGTACAAAAGAAGAAAACTGCCGAGCACACCACCACCGAACGACAGGTATGTAAATTACGCGACTATTGGAAACTTAAAATTTTCATTTTTTTCTTTCAAATGTCTTCCTAACAGGTTCTCGAGGCAATACAACAAAGTCCGTTTCTTGTCGGTCTACACTATGCCTTTCAAACCGATTCAAAACTCTATTTGGTTTTGGGTATGTCTAACATTTAACAAAACATTTTGGCTAAAAAAATCTTAACAAAATTTTTATTACAGACTATGTGAGTGGCGGTGAGCTTTTCACGCATTTGTATAAGGCCGAACATTTTTCCGAATCCACGGTACGTGTTTATATTGCCGAAGTGGTTCTTGCCCTGGAACATCTACACAAATTGGGCATTATTTATCGTGACATTAAATTGGAAAACATCCTACTCGATGGCCAGGGGCATATTGTCCTTGCCGATTTTGGTCTTTCGAAAATCTTTACACCCGACTCCGATCATCGGGCGCACAGTTTTTGTGGCACCCTTGAGTACATGGCCCCGGAGATAATAAGAGCCGGTCCCAATGGTCATGATTTGGCTGTAGATTGGTGGTCTGTTGGTGTCTTAACCTATGAATTGTTGACGGGTGCTTCGCCCTTTACCGTTGTGGAACAACAAAATTCCCAAAGTGATATATCACGTCGCATACAAAAAGTTGATCCTGTACTACCTCCAACTCTGGGTGAACATGTTAAAGACTTTATTTTGAAAATGTTACATAAAGATCCGAAGAAGCGTTTGGGTGGAAATAGTCCGAATGCCACCGAAATTAAAAGTCATCCATTCTTTCGCGGCATCAATTGGAATGAGCTGAAGAGTAAACGGCGAAAAGCTCCGTTTAAACCCGCCCTGGACAGTGAAGATGATACACAAAATTTCAGTGAAGAATTCACCAAGCAACCAGCTATTGATTCACCAGCGCCGGTACCATCGAACACACATCGTCTGTTTCGTGGTTATTCATATGTGGCACCACAGCATCGTAAACCTGTGCCAGAATTTGAAAGTCAGCCGAACAACGGTTTGGAATATTGCAATAAATCTGTGCTGGTAAGTTTTAAAGGGGGTTAGACGTAGAGAGTCATCACAATATTGTGATTCAAAATATAAACAAAAAAATTCGATTTTTAAAAGTGATGAGAATTTCAAAGAGTCATGAGGAGGACCCAGGAAGTCAGTTTTGAGCATCCCTATAATACATTCATAAATAGAGCAATAATATTTGAGCCATATAAGCTTCGTATTATACGGATTTGCTATGACCATAAAGACAGTTATTCTTTTCGATCGATAAACCCTTTCTTTCAATTCGAAATTGATTTTTTATTTATTTTTTTTAATTTTATTTCCCTTTTTGTGTTTTTGAAACAGGACCCCATGCCAGCACCCACTAACATTGAACTCCGTGATCTGTGTAGCAGCGGTGCCTTTGGCAAATGTTATCTCGGTTGGGATGAGTCCAACAGAACAATTGTTGCAATTAAAGTAATACCCGTAAGCAAATATAGACCCTCCGAATTGGATGCTTTGATCTCATGTGCCCAAGATGGTCATAAATATATAGCGCAATATTTGGGAGCCTATCGCAGTGGCTCAGATATATGGATTGTACAAGAATATGTACCTGGCTGTGAGCTTTCCGATTTAATTGTCCAACATGAGGAGGGTATGGACGAGATGTCTTGCCTGAATGTGATCGTGCATATGTTGGATGCCATTCAGCATATACACAAGCGGCAATTTATCCATGGGGACCTGAAACCGGAAAATATAATTTTCGTTGGCGATGATATGAGTGAAAGCAAACTGGTGGACTTTGGAGCTGCAAGGTAAGGAATAGAAATTGTTTCTTTTGTTGTTTTCAAAAGGTAAAACTTCCTCTTTTATTCCCCTAGCTATCATGGCGACCTGGAATGCTGGAATGATAGGCCGCGTTTCACCATAGACTATGCGCCGCCCGAAATGTTAGAGGATCCTGAGATGGGTACGTATTCAAAAGCTGTGGATATTTGGTGTTTAGGTGCCACCTTGTATACAATGTATATGGGACATTCACCCTTTCGGCGGGGCCGAGAGGATCGCGCTGTTAGCGTGGATGTACATAGGCAACGGATTTTAAATGAAGACTTTTATATGGCATCCCAACGCTGGCAAGAGGCCAGTGCAGAATTACAAAGCCTTATAAAGGGTTGCCTGGAAAAGGATGTAACCAAAAGATTAACACTCTTGGATATTGTCGATCACAGCTGGTTCCATATTCTACACGATAATGTTCCGAATGTGGAGGACAGTGAGGAAATGCGAGAGCTTAAGTCTCCCTTGGAACACATTAAATATGAGGCAACTGAAGAAAACGACGAAGAAGAAGAAGAAGTTGTTGGAGAAACAACGTTACAGGACACAGCATCTGTAACACCAATTGGTGTTTTAGAACAAACAGAGGAGGATGCAACAGATGTCGTTGACCTTAAGCTTGAAACCATTATTGAAGAGGATGGCGTGGAGATGGAGCAAAGTGTAGAACATTACAATCCAGAAGATGTTATACAAACCATTGTTGCCGAAGAAACCAAGGAATTACCAAGTATTGGACTTGATCAAAGTAGTACTGCTCAAATCGAAAATGTGGCATCTGATGATATTCAAACACAAGAAAACGTTCAAACCTCAGATGATAGTTGCTCGGATTTGGAAGACTTCTGTGGTTTCAGTGAAAATTTGTCACCCTCAACAACAAAACACCTCAAGGAACTGATCAGTTTGTTGACCTCCTTAAGACGTTGCAAACGATCATATATGTCGGACAATGTCAAACAATTGCCTGCGGTAAAAACCGCCGAAAGAAAACTAACCAGCACGAGACATTCGGCACGCAATGTCCAACCACTGCAGAATAGCTCGAATGAAGCGAATCGAAGAGCAACCAGGACCACCAGAGTTAACACAAATGACAACAACAAACTAACCAAATTAGACTCCAAGTCATTAAAAATAACACCGAGAAGTACTAAGAAACAACAGCAGCAGGCACAAACGGCTGTTAAAGCTGCTGCACTGAAAAAGGAACCCGAAACGCCGGTTTCAATAATCGTCGAAACTATGGTGGATGACAGTTTTCTGGGCTTCAGAGATGCCCTGAATTGCAAAACGAAAATGCGTGCTTTTAATTTAATGTTACACCATACTCAAGTGGCTTTAAAGCATTTTAATATCGAAAGACGTGTATATAACAGGACCAGCATTAGGAGTAGACAAAGTTTAGAGAAAAAACAACAACAACAACACAAATCATCTAGTACGACGCCACAAAAAGATGAAGACGTAGAAGACGAAGAACAAATAATTATTCCTGCCAATGAAAATAGTAGCAAACATGAGGTGGTAGCGACATCTACTGGCCGACGACAACCGGCCCGTAGTACACGTGCTCAGCGGGCGCGTTATGTTTTCGAATGATTTTCGTGTATATTAATTATTATGTTATTCTCAGCTGGTCACTGCATGCATATTACAGGGCAATCTCTAAATGAAATGAGAAATGAAAAATAAGCAACACTAACAACAACAACAAACGTCTTGTGGGAAAAGTGCACTTAGGTCTTTTGCGAGGAGAAGTAGGGATTTCTTTTTTGGGGAATTTAAATTTGAATGAAATTAAAAAATAAACAAAAGCCAATAAATAGATAACTAGGCATAGGGATTTTTTTTCGTTAGAGCAAAGTCAGGATTGTAATTAAAGGAGGAGTTATATTTCCAGAATTTAGCGTTTTTATACCCTACACCAAAAGGTGGTCAGGGTTATGTTTGTGCATTTGTTGGTAACAGGCAAAGGAAATGAGATAGACCCATAATTCTTTTTGGTGATCTGCATAGAGTCGATTTATGCATGTCTGTCCGTCCGTCTGTCTGTTCATGTATTTTTGTAAGCTAAGTACAGGTCGAATTTATTGCCCGATCCAGATGAAATTTTGCACAAATCATTTGTTTGACCTAAGGACGAAGCCTATAGAAATGGGAGATAATCGAACAAAATTTAGCTATAGCTCCCGTATATATCTTTGTCCGATCTGCCTTTGGATTGTGCACCAAACGTGTAATATCAGTCCAAATAGTATGGAATGTTGCGCATACCAACAAATTAGGCCTGAAAATAAGTATGCCAAATTTTATTGAAATCGGTCCAAATGTACCTATAGCTTCCATATATATTGTTCGTCCGATTTGTTGTTTTTCTCCTCCGCAGCCGGAATATGCACTCTGTAACAACGATATTTGGGGAAGTATAGCAAATACAATTCAGAAATACCTGTGCTATATTTTATCGAAATCGGTCCAAATGTACCTATAGCTCTCATATATATTTTCTTCGTCCGATTTGTTATTTTTGTCCTCCGCAGCCGTAATATGCACTCTGTAACAACGATATTTGGGGAAGTATATCAAATACATACCTTTTGCTAAATTTTATTGAGATCGGTCCAGATTTAGATATAGCTCACAGATATATCTTCTTCCGATTTGGCTTTTATTGTGCACCAAACGTGGAATATTAGCCCCAATTGGATGGAATTTGACACTTACGACCAAATTGAGTCAAGAAACACGTATATCAAATTTGGTGAACATCGGTTGAGATATAGCTATAGCTCCCATATATATTTTTTGTCCGATTTCTTGAATTTGTCTTGCTCAGCCGCAATAATCACGTCGTAGTAACGAAATATATCAAATACAACCTTAAAATCAATTTGCCAAATTTTATTGAGATTTTTCAGATTTGGATATAGCTACCATACCAATGCCTTGGCAAATTTAGTATAAATCGATTCAGAGGATTTTAAGCCCTATTTGGACTTTAAGTTATAACCATAATCATAATTGGTATGATTTAGTTCTCACAAATTTCCATTAAAAAAACTTTTTTTTGTTATGTGAAGCTAAGCTCTAATAGAGCTTAGTGGTGTAGGGTATCATAAAGTCGGGCCAACGCCCGACTATAAGACTTTCCTTTCCTGGTCTTAGTATACAGAATTATCGAATTGAGTCGTTTAGGTGGTCCATAATAAGTTGGTAATATAAACAAGAAAACTATTTTGTTTGATTAAAATGTAATTTAAAAATTCTTTTGGATATTTTTCTGAACACAAAATTAAGTTATGAAACACATATGACTTGTCCACATGTCTTGAAATTTTTGGAATTTTGTTTGAGTTCGAATAGAGCCTAAGCCCTTCTTGGAAATTTTGTTTACAAGTCTAGATGTTGATGAAAAACCTTTTTTTTTTGGACACATATGACTTTTGTAGATGATTTCAAAGTTTTAGAATTTTTAGCCTAAGTCTTTTCTTTTGGAAACCTAAGTGCACTTAATATTGCAAAGAAGTTTGTATGGGAAAAAGGCGTATTTTAAAACACCCACACCCTTACAAAAGAAGATAAAAATAAAACGCCAATTAGCAAATAAAGACAATTTCTTGTTGTCTTAGATCGATCTGATATTTCCTGCCCAGCCAAATCCACACTTTCTTCAGACACACTTTGATTTAATACAGACAAAAAAAACACACACACATACATAAATTAAATAATTATTTACATTATGATTTATGTATATATTTAATAAATAATAACTATAAATAAATTTTGTTACAACATTCTTGTTGTATACTACTATAATTCTAATCTTAATTTTCCCCCTATTTTCTTTTAAATTTATATTATTACTATTATTATTATTGCTATTATAATTTCAAAAAAATTTAGTAATTTTTTAAATCGTTGTTGTTATTCAATATCTATTAAAAAAAATAATAATAATATAGAACATATCTAACTTCTCTTAAAAGTGTAAGATCGACCCCCCCAAAAAAAAAAACAAATATATAACAAAAGAAGAAAAAAAAAATGATTTTGTAATAGGAATAATATTTAATACATTTATATATACATAAAAAAAAAAAACAAACAAAAAACTTTAATGAAAATACCCATTCATATACATATATTTTTATTATTTCCTTTTTGTTTACCAAAAAACAAAAGAATATTGAAATATATTTTTTCTTAACTAAGGTGGATGAATATAATTGTTGTTGTCCATTTATGATTTTGCAAACAACATAATCTGACTATTTTTCCTCAACAACACAAAAAACGATATTTTTTTAGATTTACAAAAAATAACCGGTTCTAATTATTTTATTTTCCAAATATATGCTAATTAAATAATCATCCGTTGATTTTATGACATATTTTTATATATATTAGTATATTACCTATAAGTGAATTGATTTGTTCTTACTCTTTTTAGTTGAAAAAGCCTACAATACCATATAAAGCTAAAGAAATAATGAAGTGTTTAGTTAATTTTTTTTAATTATTTTTTTCTCAAGGAAAGTAAGATTTTAAAACACTGTGAAACAGATTTTAATTTTTTTCAATAATTAAGGGGAAATCTGAAGAGATTATGAAAGTGGAGCTAAGAAAAGGATGACACGTGTATTGGCGTTTTGAAAGTTCACATCGACAGATTAAGCAAAATAGAGAGAGGAAAGTTTCCCCCTTCTTCCACACTTTTGGAAATCTTCAGTTTAAGATTCCACGGAATTTGTGTATTTTAGATACATAGTGTCTTCGGCAATATTACAGTTAAAAATACGAGGAATATTTTGGACGGGAGTATGGAGGACGAAGGTTTTTGATACTTTTTAATTTTAAATATAGTTAAAAAATTCCTGTAAACGTGATCATAGCTACTACTATTGGTCCTGGAAGACAACAAGAGTCTAAATCCTACCTAAAGCCAGGTAGGCCATATATACCTTAACCACAACACTTTAGGTTAAAAACAATGCTTGCAATGATGCTTTCAATAAAGCATCATTTTAGAAGGATAACTTCAAAGACCAAAATGTTCCTCATCAACTTTTGATATAAGACGCCCAAACGTTCAAAAAATGGAAATATTACCTCTTTTTTTATCAATATTTTCTCGAACTTTTTTCGAGTTGACGCATAAAAATAACATAAAATTTCATTTTAGGCAAAAGTTGTCAAAGGTTGTCAAAAGAAGTATTATTCTACACAGTATTTCACGGTAGACCTCATAATAAACCACACATAGCTACAACAGTTTTTTTTTGTGAAAATTACACGAAAAGTGAGTCTGGTTTTTGGAAAATGCCAAGTGGACTTTATAGTACTGGGTTTTAGATCGAAACCCTAGAGGAGTTCTTTGCTCTTAAACCACAAAATGTTATTAAGCTCCTCATATAGTTTTGACCATACACAAAGGGGGACCCCTAGGTTTCAGATATATTTTGCAATTCAGATATATTTTGCGATATAGCTTTAAAATAGAGAGACATCCAGAATCTTTGGCACAGAATAGGATAGCGAGTCGATTCGAAAAAAGGCCGCAGAGAATTTTTATCAAAAAAGTTTTTTTTTTTGTTTTGACATGACTTATAGTAAAATTTGATGAAGAACAATTTTGCCTCTGACGTCATCCCTCTAAAATGAGCTTTGTTGGAGTTTTTTTGCACAAACTCACATAAAGAACGGCATTAACCCCAAAATGTGTTTTTTCTCAAAATTCCTGGATTTTAGGTAGGATTTAGACTTTAGACCTATAGTAGAATTTTATGACAAATAATTTTGTAGAATATTTTGCCTTGCTACGATCCCGTTTTAAGGGAGTTTTTAGCCATATCTTTAAAAATGTATCAAAAAGACCCCTTTGTTGCCTGGCTTGAGGGTTAAAATTTCTGGGACCTATAATGGAATTTTACGACAAATAATTTTGTAGAATATTTTGCGTTGCTAGGTTCCCGTTTCAAGGGAGTTTTGTAGTCATATTTTTAAAAAAGTACCAAAAAGGCCCATTTCTTGACTCCCTTGAGGGTTAAAATTTTTAACCAAAATAATCCTTGTAATTTTATCTACAATAACGTCAAAGAGATCATATACTTTAAAATATGGATCCCAAGGAATTTTAAATTGGAAATTAAAAAAAAGCAACTAAGTTCGGCCGGGCCTAACTTTTGATGCCCTCCACCATTTCGAAGGAACTTGAAAAATTAAAAAAAAAAAACGACCTACATACGAAATTTTTTGGCATGAGTTGTAGTACCCATTAAGATCTTTCAATACGTTGAATAATGTGTTGCTGAAATCACCAAAATGCCAAATATCGGGAGGTACCATTATATGGGGGCTATACGAAGACCTGGACTTGCATAGACCAATTTTTGTCTTAGCCTGTAGTACCTATTAGGATCTTCCCGTACGAAATTTGAGAAAATGTTGGTAAATAATGTCGCTAAAATCATGAAAATACCGAATATCGGGAGGTACCGTTCTATGGGAGCTATACGAAAACGTGGACCGGCATAGTCCATTTACGAACTTAACCTGCCTACTGGTAAACTATGTATGTATTCAAAATTTTAGCATTCTATCTCAATTCGTTCGAAAGATAGCGTGATTAAAACAGACAGACGGACGTCGCTAGATCGTCTTAGAATTTTACGCTGATGCAGAATATATATACACTTTGTAGGGTCTATTATGAATATTTCGAGGAGTTATAAACGGAATGACCATAGCATGGTGGAGGGTGTAAAAAATATGGTAGAGGGGAGGAGTTTCCCCTTTATTTAGGTTTCTTTTCGATGTAAGCTTTCAAAATCCCAATACACGTGGCTTCTGTTAATTGGCTCTACTTTTATAAAATGATGTATTTTCCCCGTAATAATTTTTTGTGTTACACAGTGTAATGGGGGACTTTGGATATAAGAAGGTTTTCTTTTCCCACACACCAACCTTGATTTTACTTTAGTTTGAAAATTCCTTTCTTTATTAAGACTTGACCTGGGCCTGTTTTTCAATGACATTAAGAATGTAACTGCGAAAGAAAAAACACCATTCCAAATGTTTAATTTTTAAAAATTGAATAAAAAATTGGGAAAATCATATTGGGAATGGAATTTTTCATTCGCATTCACGTTGGTATCGTAATACAGAAACAGGTCCTTATTAACTTATTTGTTGTGAAGACATTTGCTTTCGATTTCTTTATGCGTCCATGACTACTGAGACTGTACACTTGTTACAATAATGGCTTTATAGCTCTACTTTTTAATATTTTCACTGGACAAATTCCTTAAAAAATTAAAAATTTTCAAAAAATCTTGAAAATTTTCTTATATCCATTATTCTTCCCAAATATCTTACCTTTTTTCCGGGTGGCAAATTCTACAAATTGCCACACAATTTAGAGAGCTGGCGGATTTCTTTTTTAACTGGCATAAAAAAAAAACACAACCGACAGACGCCCTCCCTTCCTCACTCTTCTTCGCTGGATTATGTTTATTATTTTTCTTTTTGTTGATCATGATTTTATGGTAATAATGTTTATTTTTATTACAATCTATTTTTTATTTTAACCAATTTTTTCTTAAATCAATTTGTTAAAATTTTTTTATTTATAAGATTGCAAAAAAATATTTTTTCTCATTTTGTTATTCGTTAACGAATTGCATTTTGTTTTTGCCTAAATCAATTTAAAAGAAGTGAAATACTTGCACACAAAAAAATAAAATATCGAAACGAAATGAAACAAAAAGTTTAGGTGGTAGGTAGTAACATTTTTTATTTTTTAAAAAACATTTTATTAGAATTTCTTTACAACAACACGAAGAAATGAGTTAAATATATATTTATATGTAAGAAGAATTTTTAGAAACATTTTTAAGGACCAAAAAAAAAAAACGAAAACCGAGAGAAATACATCATTATCAATCAATAAACAAAACGTTTTAAACAATTATTTTATTTTAAACTATTTCTGTTTTCTTTTTTTAAATTATTTGGGATGTAATTTGTGAAATGGATAGCTATTTTACCTTTTTGGCGGGGAATACAATTACGACATTGGGGAAGGTCTTTCTATTTCAGTATTTAAGGCAAGCAATTGGTGCGGTCTCATTTTAAAGAAAATTTTGAATTCAGGCCTATCATACCCGGACACAAGTGCTCTGTTCCAGAACTTAAAGGCTATAAAAGTTTTTACTAAGATAACCGATTTTTCATTTGTGGAAAATTTTATCACAAAAGTCAGGAAAAATATTTGATGTTTTTTGGAAACATTGTTCTAAATGGCACGAAGTGGAAAAAGATATTTATTTTCATTGGTGATATATAGTAAAATTTGATGAAGACCAATTTTGTCTTTGACGTCATCCTTTTAAAATAAGGCTTTGTTGGAGATTTTTGCACAAACTCACAAAGAACGGCCTTAACCCTAAAATGTGGTTTTACACCCTCAGTCATATGGCTGGAGAGGGTATATATAATTTGATACGGCCAAAACGTGCCTCATCGAAATAACGGTTTTAGACCCTAGGTCTCTTTGGACCAAATCCGTTTCAGGACATTTAGAGTCGATCTGGCGATGTTCGCCCGTCTCTCTGGCTGGCTGATGCGCACGATTACTCTCGAATGGAGTATCCGATTTGATTCAAACTTGGTACATCGTAATATTATTGTCAAACTTAGATGGGGCTCGGAGATGGGAAATATCGATTCACTCCTTTTGGTACCTCCCACACAAAGTGTCATGATTTTCAAAGAAAACAATTTACTACACAGAAAGAGAAAGGATAATCCGATTTTGCTTCAAATTTGCG